TCCCTCCCTCTCTCTCTCTCTCCCCTGAAACTCCTTCTGGAAGAGAGGAAAAAAAAAAGAAAATTTGACTAGAAAAAAGAGACGAAATGGGAAAACTTCTCTGCGATTCAACCGCCATTGCTGAAACTTTCCAATCTCCCTCACCGGGTATTCCATGGAGAGATCCGACCTTGGCTTCTTTCGATACCCCCGAGACAGCCGGTGTCGCAGATAATGCAAGCTGGGAAACTGTAAGCGGTTTAGAGGACCAGCAAAAGCGTTATTTGCAGAGACTCCATACAAAGGGAGTTCTATGGAAGCACCCACAGGGCGACAACCTCTCTTCGACCAGATCGATGATTTTCCGGCTATCGCATGGGGGTGATGTTGAAGCCGACGGAAACTGCCTCTTCACAGCGTCGCAGAAAGCCATGGGGATGCCGATCGATGCCAGAGAGCTTCGGCGGAGAACGGTCAGGAGATTCTTGGAAGATCTCGGATCCGATGATTCTCAGGACAGAGCTTCAATTGATGCGGCGATTAAGCATCTTTACTCCCCCGATTTGAAAGCTGGTTGGGGTATTCATGTTGTGCAGGAGGTAAAATTGTTGGCCAAGAAGGAAGATCGAGTGAGTCTAGATGTTGCCATCAACGAGCTCGTTGATCTTGGCTTGCAAAGGTATTCCATCACTTTTCTTTTTTTTTTTTTAAATGGTTTTGCTTTGGCTAGAAAAACAATTTCCTTTACCATTTCTTGGATCTGTTTTATTATTGTTACCCCTATTTTATTATCTTTTGATTAGCTTCTTTTCTTCTAAGAGTTATTTTGCTTCCTCCCACGAAACCATTCTCTTAAACTTTTCGTTCGTTTTGGCTGCCTAATTTTTTATTCTCGCTTTTCATTTATGAAGCGCATCAAAGGTACTTCTGATTGTCTAAGAAATTCCCAATATTTGAACTCCTTGCTTAAATTTATTTATTCATTGATAGGCATCTTCTTCCTAAATTTATTTAATAATAGTGAATTTCTTCTTAGCTTTTGCATTTTTATCCAATTTGCAAATAAATGGGCTTGTCCATGTGAACACCCACACCTTACTACCAAAAGGTGTTCGAGTCTCAGGCATTTGTTGGTCACTTGTTTATTTCATTTATATGAATTATAAGGGAAATGGCTGCGGAATCCATATATAAAGAGCGATGCATTGCCGTGGATGATGGCCTGAGTTGGGCCAAATACATGTCTATCTCCGGTAGTCCAGACGATGAGTATGACATCATCACTTTGCAATATACTGAGGAGGGCTTATTAACTGTAGATGATAACAGAGAAGGACGAGCGGCAGCTTTTGGAGACGATATAGCGATAGAGAGCCTGGCAACTGAGTTCAAGAGGGAGATATATGTGGTGAGAAGAAGCATTGTTTTCTTTACACTGCTTATCCTTTGGTATTGGTTGCTACTTACCTGTTTGGAATTTTGGTTTTGCATGTTTTATTTACACCAGATACAATAGTGCTACCTAGGGGTGAGCACTATTCGGTTAAAACCGAAAAACCGAACCCAAAATTTCGGTTTTGATTTGTTCGGGTTGGTCTTCTTGGTTTTTAGTTAAATCGATTTGGTTAATTTAGTTCTCGGTTTCGGTTTTTAGAATTAGAAATTCGATTAACAGAATTAATTAAACTTTCTATTATTATATGTAATATATAATATATAATATGTAAGATATATTATATAATATGTAACATATAATATTTAATATATTATATATTAATATATTAATATATTAATATATAATATAATAAAAATTGATTTCATAATATATTTTATAATATATATTATATACAATAAAGTATATATTATTTAAATTCAGTTTTAATCGAAAACCAAACCAAATATTTTGGTTTCAGTTTCGGTTTAAATTTTTTAGTTCATTTTTTAAAATGTCAGTTTATTCGATTCGATTTTTAACCGAATAAACCGAATACTCACCCCTACTGCTACCTACCATAATGTGTTTATCGACTGCATTGCTGTATCAGAAAATTAAAATTGATATATTGTGATGACGTTCTGCTTTGTGAATTATGATTAGGGATTTATAAGCAACTGATGTATGAATTAGAATTCTGTTATGATCACTTGCATCCATGCTTAATTAATGTGCCCTGTAAAATCCTACTTGTAATATGCACATGGATAAGCTTCATGTGACGACTTATATTTGCAGACATTCCTAACCCGTTGTATTTTGTACTCTTACTGATGCTGCAGTGTCTGTGGCCCATTTGGGAAGTTTCCTTTTACATGTATTCTTATTGAGTTATTGCATCATTAATGAAAACAAAAGTGGAAAACTCTAATTATACCTTTCTCTTTTTGTGAGAATTTTCATCTGCCAGCTATTGTTGAAACTGTCAACATCTTTTTCGTTATATTTGCCTTCTATGGCATCACTTGTACAGAAAATGGTGTGGTTAGCTGTGCATGAGAAAGATAGTGGGTTGTAGTCAGAAGAGAGTAGCCTCAAGATGATGAAACAAGTAATAAAAGGGAAAAACACTGATTTTTTTTTTAATTATTTTGGGTTTAAACTTCAATTCTATTAGAATTATATTAGTTTCTTTAAGTGCCTTACTAACTTTAGTGATATTTTAAGGTTATGTTTGGTTTGAAGGAAAAAGTAGGGAAAGGAAAAGAAAGACAAGGAAACCTTTACAAACCTTGTATAGGTTTTGATACCTTTCCCTTCCTTTCCCTACCTTCAAACCAAACATAGTCTAGAGGTAAGAGTTGTCACCAGTGCCATCACCCTTAACAGAAGGATCAAGGATAGTATTCATATGCTGATCAGATAAAAGATAAGGTAATCATAAAGATTCTTAATTGCATTTGCAATTAAGTGGGTGTTTGGCACCAATGCATTTCATAAGTTATCCATTTCACCAACTTGCCACATCAGGAAAAAAACGGAAATGCTCTGTAGTTGCATTTGAAAAGCCAATTTTTTGGAAAAGCATTGATGCAATAATTAGCTCTGGTATTCGTGAGAGGAGAGGTTTCGTGAAATGTCAAATTAACATTTCTTGAATCACCAAAATGATGTGGCAAATTGAAAATTGAAAAATCAGACAGATTTTCTAAAATGTCATACAGTTGTCATAGTGAAAATATTATAAAAATCAAGTCAAAGCACTTTAAACACATGCATGTCCACCTAACCTTTTTTCTTTCAGCCAAGGCAAAATAGTACAATTAGCTCATAAAGAAACCCTAAAAACCAGTCGATTTAGACAATTCAAGTGCTAAGAAAATTTTATAAGTAATCACGACATTATTTATAAAACAACTAAGGAAAATCTTGTTATGTTAATCAACGATTTGGCATGCTTAGTTATCCTTTGGCTTACGAAATTTTATAAGCAATCACAACCTTAATTATAAAACAACGAAAGGAAAACCTTGTTAGATTAATGAATGATTTGGTGTGCTGGTTGGGGTAATCATAGATTTGTTGAATTGTTTCATTTCATATTCTATATTTACTTTTTTTATCATTCTTCATATCTTTTTGTGATTCTTGATGACATATATTTATTTTTAATAGTTTTAAGGTTATTATGGATTCAATTACCATGAATTGTGTGTGTCTCTTCTCTTTTGGGGCAAACATTCAGCAAAAAGAATTCTTCACAAACAGTGCTTCTTGTTGTGAACTTTTATTCATTTTAACTATCCTTTTAATATTACCTCTTTCATAGGTTCAAGCACATGGGTCAGATGGAATGGTCGATGAAGAAAATTGTGTCTTCTTCCTTCCTCACCGTCCTAGAAGTCAAATTTGTGAACTTCCATTTTTTCTTTTCATGAAAGGGACAGGTAAATGGTCTTTTATCATCATAACGATACAATACATGCATGTTATTCTTTGTATGACTTTCCATTGCAACAATTTTACTATATTTTTTTGGACGGAAGCCTCAGGCCCTTGTGCTTATGATTTTTATCACTTAAGAGACGTTACATAGAGGTGATGGTTCGGTCCAACCTTCCAACAAAAAAAAAAAAAACAAGTTAAAATTGACAAATTATTGTTTTCGATTGTTTTAATTCATACTGCTGTCATATGCCGGTTTAGTTTTATTGCTTATACTGAATAATTTGCAGATAAAATCTACAGTTATCCCTAAATATTTTCTTTTTCTTTTATATCTTTTCTTGTTCAGGTTGGTGCGGTGCTGGAGCTGATCACTATGAGCCTCTGATAGCCCATCCTGCTCCATTTGTTTCCCAAGAAAAGGCTGCTGTTGTACTCTGAGGAAGCCAATTAGTCCTTCAGTTTTGTGGCTTAGAGGTTAAATAGAGTTAGCCAGTTAGAGACTTTTTATTTTGTTTATTTCTTTTTATTTTAAAATGCTTTGGCAGTAACATAGTCCTCGCAATTCTTTTGCGGGTTGCAAGGAAAAATTCCATTGCACACCTTCCATTTTTAACCAGATTTGTTTTTTTTTTTTTTTCACTTTTGACTCTAACCAGCAGGTCTATGTGCCTGCACTTGAGACCCCCTCTGTAGCAGTACATCTGTATTGTTTTTGCCGGCCTTCTATTGTTGATTTGAGGTTTTGGAGATTGACTGAACATTCTGTATTGCTACCCTTGTGTTGTATCTTTTTTACTTTAGCTGAATAGTGAATTTTACTATTTGTTAATGCATTTGCCTTATTTCCTAAAAATAAATCAATAAGCACAGCTAAATAGTTTATTTTCTTTAAAGAAAAGTTTCTTGAAAGAGTTGGTCTTTCATAATCTTTCTTGCTCCTGATTGATGTGAATGTATGGTGAAAGGCGACTTGATAACTGCTACTGGGGTGTTTGACTTCCTGAGTGAAATTAGGAATAGAGATGAAAGATAAGAATGAAAGAATGTTTTTCTGTCACTTAATTGAACAATTCGAGGATCATATCACTTGTCATCTCGCATGCGGAGAAGGTGTGTGCTTTTCAAATCTGTTCTGCATATATTTGTTTTGTCAGGGACTGATTCTTCCACTACAACTGCTTTCGTACTTGTCAAGCACTCGAGCAAATTTGATTGTCGGCATTTAATGTATACTCCAGAGTCATGCTTGTGAGATTGTATAAGATGTTCAATGGCACACTGTGCATATGAGGTGGTGACTGCATTTTGTTAATGTTGTGGCGCACACCATTGTTTCGACTGCTTCCCAATTTAGTACTTGTTTCCTGATAAAGGATTTTACTTTATATTGAGAGTGCAAAAATGCCAAGTGTTTTATTCTGGTGGGAGTGTGTGTTCGTGGAGAGTCCAAGAATCCATGTTCATATTTTAGCCACCAACACCGGTCATTTCAGGTGGGAGTGGCGTTTTTTTTCTCTTTCAGACTCCCTTTTCTCATGTAGATAAATTTTTAAACATTCGTTGTACTCCCAGGGGAATTGCAAACTGCAAATAAGCCCTACCCTTTTGAATAATGTATGGTTTATTTTTCTTTCATGTGTTTTATTTACAGTGTTGATGTGTTAATGTTCTTTTGACTATAATCTACCAATGCTTTCATTTTTGTTTCAAAGATAGTTCCCAAGTTTCATGGTATCTATATTTTGAAGTCAACTGGTGCCTCCATTATTTGTTCAACGAGTACTGCTATGAAAAAGCAGAAAAAGTAGTTATTGTTTTTCATTGTGAGGAAGACCATTGTTTTCAAAGATTTAAATTCCCATGATTCTAATACTTATCATGTTTGGCCTCTTTGGTTCGAATATATAACAAATGTAAGCAAAAAGAGTTCCAACCAGCGATGCCGAGTCGGATTCCGGATCTCCTGTCCACTAGAATCTGCCCATATTTATCTCAGTCATACATGGAGAACATCTCATTCTCTGCATACAGGGGGAGATGTTTCCAATTCACGGGGGGTAGTATATTGTGAATAGGCTTGGGCAGAGTTTTTGTGGGCAGGAGATAGAATTCCTGTTTATCTTTGACCTCCTCCTGGCCTCTCTGTTCATTATTACCCATAAATTTAGGACTTAAATTTAAGAATAGATGACTTGTTGAAACTAAATTTAGGGCCCGTTTGGTTTGCGATTGGAATTGGAATCAGAATGGCCTATTTCCCTTGGTTGTTTTGTTCTGACCGGAATCGGAATCAGATCCTGATTTATGCTGTTTGGTTCATTAAGAGGCTGCAATCGGAATCAGCCATGATTTCTAATTTTGTGCATAATAAAAATTAAAAAGCAGAAAATGCACGAAAATACCAAAAAATGCAGAAATTTTGTAGGAAATGCAGAAATTACAATAATTTTGTAGAAAGTTCAAAAAAATGCATGGAAATACTCAAAATTTGCAGAAATTGCAAAAAAAATGTAAAATTTTTGCAGAAAAAATGCAGAAACACCATTACAGAAAAATGCATAAAAAATTCTATTAAGAGGTGTATTAAGTGGGCCCATCTTGTCTCGTGGTAAGTACCATGTGATAAGTATTAACTCCAAAATGGGGAGATGAACAGTTGGCTGTACAGGGTCCAATACCACCAGCTCTTTGCAACTATAAATACTTACCATGTGGAGTTAATACTTACCACATACAGCCATATGGGGGAATGTCGTGTTTCATTGCGGGTGTGTTGTGTGTATGATATTTTGGTAGCATGAAACACGACAAGGGAATGGCACCCCCATAATGGGAATGGCATTCCTTGGGGTGGGGTAGGGAATGGGCATTCCCCAATATGGGGGAATCCCATTCCGCCTAGAATGGGAATGGTGTTTCAATTCTGTTTAAACAAACATCCAGAATGAGAATGAATCATTTCGATTCCGATTCCAGACTCCCTTAAACCAAACGGACCCTTAAGATTGGAGGATGCACCTTGTAGCCGCATCAGGATTTGCTCCTCGCATCTCATGCCAAGCTCACAGCCGTATATTGGGAGAATCCGGATTCATTCAGTGCAAAACCCGTTTGAACAGTCATTATAGCTTTGTATTAGAATATCTCACCATGAAATAAAGAACAAAAGTACATAAATATGCCTGATGCAAGACTGTAAAATCTGTTTGAAGGGCCTTAAACTGACTGAAGCCGATCTCATATTGGAAACATTTCTTTATAAATAATTATACAAATATAGAAAATGTCCCCAATGTGTGGCCGTAAAGTATTGTGAGGAGCAGACCCTACGCCTGTGAATAACTATACAAAGTATATACAAAGTAAGGGAGATATTTCCTACGCCTGTGAATAACTATACAAAGTACGGGAGATATTTCCTAGGCCTCCCATTTTTACCATCTTCAATCCAAGTATCAATCTCTATCACATCTCCCTTGGCACATCCTATTTTTCTGTGTCACTTTTGGCTGGGTTTTGGGGGCAAGGCAGTCTTAGGTCCCTCATTTTTGTTGCTCTTATTTCAATTTTAATAAAATCTTGGGCTGTGTCCACGGGCAGGATTCGTCCCCTGTACGGTGGGGCTAAAGAACTCTGAGCAGGGCTGATCAGTTATTCTCCTTAAAATTTTTAGGTGACCGTCCTTCCACCCGGAGTAATGCTTGGGGCTAAAAAATATAGTATAATATTGGAAATTGGTCTATTCTAGAGTGAAGATTTACTGTTCAAGTTATATGCCATAAGATGGTTAGATGTTAATTAAGTGAAAATTTGTTCCCTCATTCATTGGCCAAGCCCTACAGAATGGTGTAAGCGATGGAGTTCAAATCAGCCCCCCTCCCCCCCCCCCAAGACTGCCCCCACAATGTCCCACAGTATATTTCTTTCGTGTATTGGGAACATCCTCCAATGATAATATTAGGAATGATGATATCACCATTGGGAGATGTTCCTAATGCATGGTGAGGATTTGTTGTGGGATGTTGTGGGGGGTTGATTTGGTCTCTATGCAATGAGCTACGTGGTGCTAAAGGTACTTTCTTTCCTTCTTTTCTTTTTTTATGTCAACTAATGTATTCACAGGTTCTTCTATCTTATGCAAATCATATGAACAAAGGTATCCTTTTCTTACATTTGTTTTAGTATGGCAAAAGTACTCACTTTTTTTGAGAGAGTTTTCATCTCAGGGTTTCTTTGGTTATTTCTCTTTGTCCATCCTCTGTCGTCCTTCTTCCGTCTTCGGTCGTTTTTGGGGTAACTCCCCAACACCTCTATCCACTTTCTTTTCTTCTCCCTCTCCCTCTCCCCCTCTCTTCTCCGCTCTTCTCCGCTTCTCCCTTTTACTCACTCATCTCTCTCCTTTTTTATTTTCTTGTTCCACTTCTCGTTCATTCCTCTCAATCATCTCTCTCCATGATTTTCTTGTTCCACTTCTCGTTCTAGCCTCTCACTCATTATTGTCTTTTATCTTTTGTTATTTTTTTCTTTATATTCTTTTATGCAGGGATTTTGATACAAGAGGCTGATTCTTCCTTGAAGAAATTGGTGTTAGGCGGTGACTTCCATTGCTTCTTTGGATTTCACCGTCAGTGGCTGTTTTCAAAGTGTATTTCACTGGCGGTTACAGTTCCGATGGTTATAGTTCTAGACGATTATAGTTCCGATGATTACAGTTCTAAATGGTTATAGACCCAGCAGTTACAATTACATATGGTTACAGTTTCGACGGTTACAATTCTGACGGTTACAGTTCCAGATTGTTAAAGTTCTGGTGGTTACAGTTCCAGATGGTTACAATTCCGACGATTATAGTTCCGACAGATACAATAATGGCGGTTACAATTCCGAGTAGCTCTAGTTTCTTGGTGCAAGTCAGTATTGTCTTTATCCCTCACTTTTGGTTACAGTTCCAAGTGGCTCCGATGGTTACAGTTCTGGCGGTTACGGTTCCAGATGGTTACAGTTCCGCGTGGCTCCAGTTTCTTGGTGCGAGTCACTATTGTCTTTATCCCTCACTTTTGGTGGTAACAGATGCGCAATTGTTTCTTATATTGACGATTTTACCTCACCTTATGTTGAATGCAAAAGTTTTTTTTTTTTGTTCTTCTTTATCCACAATCTATATTTTGTTCTTTCTAAGGATTTGTATCTACGCTTTTTTGCTTGGTACTATGATTACTTCCTTGTGTTTATACAAATTTCTTAGAATGAAATATGATTATTGCCTTAAAAAAATAATGAGATTCTAATCAACATCTCTTCTACGCCTATCAGCTAATATGCTAAACAAGCCACTATTCGAATGGTTTTCGGTTTGGAACTAAATGGTGACCTCCCCCCTCCCCCACCCCCAATTAAACACACATATGCCAACAGTCAAATTTAGTGAACCCGACTTCCCCGACCTAATGGAGTTGGGGATGGGGACTGTTTTGGTAAGGCGGAGATGAGGACGAGGATTAATAAAAATCCCTAATCAGGGTTGGGGTCGGGAATGGAGATTGAGATCCTCGTCCTGCCCCACCCCGACCCCAATTATATGTATATTAAATAAATATTATTATATTATTTGCTTATATCAAAATATATTTAAAACATTAATTATAATTTAAAATTTTTATTTATTTTAAATAAAATTATTTTTCAAAAAATACTGTCATCTAAAAAAAATTTGGGGATTCGAGTTTCCATCGAAAACTCATCCCTATCGAGAATTAGGAATGGAGCACAAATTTTATCTCAAGAAATTAGGAACTAGGATGGGATTCAGAATCGGAATCGGGGATGGGCCCGCTCTGAATCCGCCCCGTTGCTATTCCTAATCAAATCTAAAGATGGGGATCACTCCGTTATATGAATTTGAAATAATTCGTGTCGGCTCTGGCAGCAGACGCGAACCCGGTTAAGTTGGTTGGATGTATTGGTAATGTCTGTCCAAATTTGAGACATTTGGCCGTTGTGAGTGGCAGCGTTAGTCAATCCTATACTATGCATGAGGAATCGATCGAATGATCTTTACACAGATGCTAACAATGCTATATGGTACTGAAATTGGTTATTTCCGTGCACAACCACCACGTACCACATAATAATTTGATCACAGTTGTATCGTTTATAAATCGATTCGGGTTAACAGTAGCTGCTACTGTTATAACTTATAACTGGTAATTTTTTACCCAACCCACCCATCTCTCAAGCGGGTCAATATGGGTTGGGGGAAACCTTCGAATCTCGATATTTTCTTTGAATCAGGTCTATTGCTGAGAATCACTTCTGGTCCCAATGATTCATGAAACCTGTTGGCAATTCTCCTTCTCCATTTAGAAATCCACTGATTTTCTAATGGTATGTTTGATTGTTAACAAAGGATGAGATGAAAAAGGAATATATATATATATATATATATATATATTTCATTTTTGCATCCAGTATTTGTTTCCTGAGAAATAGTATAATTAAAATTTATTTTTTATGTTTGTTTTCTAAGAAAATTTAACAGAAAATATATTAAACTAAGTTTTTCTTCCTTTCTCACCTTCTTCGATGACATTGCATGGTCGACCATATGAATGTGTAAATTTGACACATGGCAACAATGAGATGCTTATAAGATATCACAATCACATTCCGAATAGGTGAAGTGTAAAAGCAAAAAACTAAAAAAAAAAATAGGGTCGTGAAAGAAAATATTAGATCTGACCAAGGTTCAAAATATCAACACGTATTGGTCCGTATCAACTAATATTATTGTGTCGATGGCTTCCTGATACGCCCCTCCAGGGGTTGTATCGGGTCAGACCAAGGTTTAGAGGGTAGGCTCAGGCCGGCCTAAAAAGTAAAAAAGCCTGACTTTTTGGGCCCAAGCCTAGCCTGTGGACCAAAAATCCAAGCCCAGCCCATGTAAAATTTTGGGCTGGGCTGGTTCAAGCTCATGTTAGGCCTGCCCAAGTTGCACCCCTACTCTCACCTAATTCTTTCTTTCTCTCCTATTCTTTATCTCAACTTTTATTATTTATTTATTTATTATTATCTAATCATTTATTTATTTATTAAAATTAAATAAATTATTTATAAAAAAGTAAAACAAAGGAGATTCGACATTGAGAGAGACTTTTATTTATTCATTCATTTATTTTTATTATTTTCTAAGCATTTATTTATTTATTTATTAATTTATATTAAATTGACTTCAAAACTGAAAATTTTATTTATTTATTTATTGTTTTATTTTATTAAATTAAATATATTATTATCCATAAATTTTTACATATTTTAAATAAATATTTTTTCCTAAAAACTTTTAATTAAAAAAAATATTTTTTATAAATTCATTTTTCCTATACAATAATTTAGTTTTGGAAAGCCCTGCAAGGCCCCTCTGCTAGTATTTCATTATGGGAAAATGCAAGACCGTTCGAACGTTGTGAACAGGCACCGACCTGGCTGCCTGGCACTAGCACGACCTGGCGGCCTGGCACAAGCACCGACCTGGCGGCCTGGCCCAGGCGCGACCTGGCAGCCTGGTACAGGCGCCGACTTGGCGGCCTGGCACATGCGTCGACCTGGGGACTTGCAAGAGGTGCTCGGCGACGAATTCAACATGCATATCCAAACACTCTCACGATCCTTAGAAGTTGGCCCACGTGCCAAACGATCCGGAGGGTGGTCAACGTGCATGGCGGTTACCTCAGGGAATCTCGGACCACTTAGAAGACTTCTCAGAAATCTCGGATATGGTGTGAAGCCCACACCAAACAATGCCTATATAAAGGCACCAACCCCAATGGCAGCTTGGCAAGTAAGCAAGTAAGCAAATTCTAGCTCTCATACTTTGTGATTTTTAGCTCGCAGTCTACTGTGAGAGTACTGACTTAAGAATCGAAGCGACCTCGCCGGGTTAGCCACCTTGGGTCCTCTGACATTTGGTTCCTTGCAGGTCTCTAAAGAGAAACGAAGCTCATCAATCCAGTTCGGCACCTGGTCAACTCGACACCTCATAGTCAGCTCGCCACCAGGTAGCTTGACACCTGGGCAGCCCGACACCTCACAGGCAACCCGACACCTCACAGGAAGCTTGGCACATAGGCAGCTCGGCACCTCACAGGCAACTTGGCACCTTACAGGCAGCTCGGCACCTGGTCAGCCCGACACCTCACAGGCAGCTCGCCACCTGGTCAGCTCGGCACCTCATAGGCAGCTCGACACTATAGTTAGCTTGCCACCTAACCTGCCTAGCTCGGTTCAGTTCAACAGCCAAAGTTCTCTACTTCGGACTGAGTTATCGACCACTTAAAAATATACCAAATGACGAGGTAGTTTACCAAAAAATCGATACATCACTAAAAATTGATCCATCAATTACCATTGTTGGTGTTGAGAGGGAGCCTTGCCATAAGAGCCTCCGTTTTAAATCCTGTATCTCAACTATAAAATATCATCACCACACTAGGTCACCAAATCACCACCACCACCTTTAATTATTAATAAATACATAATAGTCAATATATTCAATACTGATTTGGATTCGGATTCGGATACAGTAGGGGCGTACCACCTTGCGACGTGTGTCACCGACTTTTCCATGAAAAAGCGAGACACGTGGCTATGCATGGAAAAAAGCAGAAGACATGTACATTGCCCCATGAGAAGGAAAATGGGGTTGGGATCTCGCTGATCTGGTTGGTGCTTAACTTGAAGAGTTATAAAGTGGCCACGTTGAAGGCAGAACCCTGTACTTCACACGCCCCGCCTGCCCTGCCCTGCCCTGCCCTCCTTCACTCCTTGTAGTTAGTAGTATCTTGTATATTATATATAACAACTGCCTCATTTCACTTTTCTTCGCACTTACGCAAAGCATTTCTCCATTGCTGGCCATTGTTTTCAAGCCGAGGGTCCTTCAATTTCTACCTACCGTTTCCCCATTTTTAAGCGTATATATCTTCCAACTTCTTCTTCTTCTTCTTTCATTTCTATTTTTTCATCCGTCAAACATCAAACAAGAAATAAATAAAAGAAAGAGAATGGGTCGTTTCTGGACTTTGCTGACTCATGTTCATTCCTTAGCAGGGTAATTAACTCTCCAATCCCATCATCATCTCTCCCTTTTGCTCTCAACTCTCAACTCTCAACTCTGAAAGGCCATCTTCGATTACAATTTTTAAATTTGTCTGATCGGTACTGATGATGAATTTCTTCAAATTATGTAATTAATGCAGGCCTGTGGTGATGCTCATCTATCCCCTGTGAGGAGGATTCTTCTATACTCTATATATAATTATATACTACTTCTTTGATTAATATATATATATATATATATATATATATATATATATACAGCGCTGCTTTTTTCTTTTCCTTACTTCTTATCTCTTGTTTGGTTTATTCATGTTATTGAATACACTCATCCATATGTAATAGATATGCATCTGTGAGAGCGATAGAGAGCACTTCCAGGAATGACGATGAGCAATGGTTGGCTTACTGGATCTTGTACTCCTTCCTCACACTGGCGGAGATGGTCTTCCAAACTATTCTTGCCTGGTAAGAACAATCGCCCAAAAAGAGAAATGTATATATTCTATTAATCTATATATGGTCAGGAGGAGACTAACAATTGATGATGGTGATGTTTTCTCCGCGACTGAAAACTGAAAAGGATGCCCATATGGTACGACATGAAGCTGCTGCTAGTGCTGTGGCTGGTTCTTCCTCAGTTCAGAGGCGCAACTTTTATATACGAGAGATTTGTTAGGGAACAACTCAGTAAATACACCGGCAACAAAACTCATTCCCATAAGAAGGTATCTATCTATTTATCTATATATATATCCCGTCTCTCCGCGTCGTGACCATCGTCTCGTCACCTCTAGATCTTCTTCTTTAACTATCATACATCTCTTAATTTCTTATCGGATTTCATGGCTGCTGCGCAGGGACAGCACGAGGCGTATTGAGCTAGGGAAGATCTGTCCCCCTTCTTCTCTTTCTTCTTTTTTTCATCAGATTTGTCTGTTTTATTTGTATTATTGAAATAAAAATTGGGGTTTGCAATTTTTATCTGTTTTTTTTTTCTTTTTTCTTCTCGGTTTGTCAAACGTGTGTATTGGGGGAGTTTGCTGAGTGGTTAGATGTTTATGGTGATGAAAAGCGTATCCGTAGAATCAGGGGCGGAGCCAGAAAACTTTTATAAAAGGATTAAACGAAGTATGGATGGACCTGTAGGGGGCAACTATTGAAGTAGAGAGTGGGGAGGGCAAAATTTACGTAAGTGGAGAGTTTCTGAACCATAGGGGGGCCATGGCTCCCCCGGGCTCCGCCCCTAAGTGGAACGGTTGCCACAGGAGTCTAGCGTATTCCACTATTTTGACTTTGACCCAATATGTATCATGTAAATACGTATGTACATAACAATATATTTATGATAGGCTGTGCCCCACAATGCTATATCCATTTGTAGAGAAATTTCAACACCACCCACAATATTACTTTGGCTCCTGATCGATTCCTTTTAATTAAGTAGTTGATGAGAATTAACTTCTCAGTTAGTCATTTATTAGTTTAGGCTGTATTTGGCATTTTTTATTTTAAAGGGAAAAATTTTCAATTAGTATCCTGTAATTGGGTCAAGGACCCATAATTCAGTATTTAAATTTTCAAAACATATAATCCAGTGCCTATCGTTAATTAGTAGTTAAGCAATCATTAAGTGATATTTGGAAGAGATATAAATGTTCTTCAAGTATCATTTAATTTTATTGTTGATACTTAAATCTTTGCTTTTTTTATTCAAGAAAGATGGGTCATATTTGTGACTCTAACTTTCTTAAATAAAAAAATTTGGAATTGTTAATTTTTTTTAATGTTTGAATGATTGATAAAGAAAATTAGATGACACTTGAAAGGGATTTGTGTCTTTTTCAAATGTCACTTTACCTTTGGTTAATAATAAATTAATGGCAGGTACTGAATTGTTACGCTTTGAAAGTTTGGATACTGAATTATTATATTTTTAAGTTTGGGAACCAAAATGATACTAGGCTCAAAGTATATGGTATTAATCGGGATTTTTTCTTATTTTAAAAGACTTATCTGTTTTTTTTCAGTTAAAATGTTACTATGTACAATGAATTTTTAATTATAAAATGGAGATAAGTCCTTGTACAATTAAACCGTAAAGTTTTTTATAATAAAGAAATTAAAAGGCAAGCAAAAGGAAAACACACAAAAGAAAAACCAAAAAAAAACACACACAAAAGAGAAAGACAACCGAACGAACTACGGGGGCTGAAAGCCAGCAAAGATCAGCAAAGACCGAAGCTTCAACTTCATCTGCCACAAGGAGAGTAGAAAACCAAAAAGCTGGAGGGCTCCTCCAACAAAAGGACTGACCTGCTCTACCTTTAGCAGCGAGCTCATGAGCCGCAGAGTTAGAATTACAACCAACAAACACAACTTGCCAGACCAAGAAACAGACGAGCAATCAAAAAGTTTACAGCTCTAATTAGATTTAACGAATCACAGCCAATAACCAGGTTCTTAATTCCAATGTCCACTACAGACTGACAACAGGTTAAGATAGCAAAACCTCTGCACACTCTGCAGACTTTGCCTTACAAGAGCCACACTTACAAGCAAGAAAGACACTAAACTCATATATGGACTCGCCGGAAGGTGCTTATGTAGAAGCAATTATGGAGATTGATAAATGCCAAGAATAGCAAATGGGCTGAAGCGTTAAAGGTTAAATATTTTGAAAAACAAAAAGCTTCTATACAGCAAAGCTCATCAATCATTCTCTTTGATCGAGTTCTGCCATAAACTTAATGATAAGTTCATTACATGATAATTACATGCGACAAATTTTATCATGATCTAATCGTTTCTTTATCCTGATAGACTCTATACGTTAGAGTTCTGGTGTAACTTAAACTAATCTCTTAACCTTGACTATTGTACACAAGCTCAAACTCTAACAGTTGTAATGTACTCAATCTTTATCTGGTCATCTATAAATAGATTAAAGTTCGATCAAGTCATTATCGAACCATTCACATCAGTTCAGTTCTCTTTTATTTTTTCAACTCTCTTCATAGTGGAAACAGCTAAAGAATGTGAAAGAAGAGGTAAAAAATGACTTCCATATTTTTCAACACCCTTGGGTTTCAACAATTTCTAATGGTAAATCAGGCATCAAGGAGAGATATCGAAAGTTGAAAGTAAAAGACCTCAGCATGCATAATGGAGGGTGGAATCTAGAGAAAATAAATGAATTGTTTGACTAAGAAAGGTGATATTTAGGCTGCGTTTGGAAACAATGCAAATGGAGTGTAAATCCCAGTTCAAGATAAATTTGCAATATGTTTCACTTTTATCTTGTTTGGCAACCTTACATTTATGCATTGACAAATGACAAACCAATGCATACCTACATTGATAATAAGATGTAAAAGTACATCAATAAAAAAGAAGTAAATTTGCATTTAAGTGGGCTTTTGATGAAAAAAGCATATACCTTATTAGAATTCATGTTTACATCCATTACAGCTAAAAGTCTGTTTGGTAGGAAGGTAAATTTGTCGGTGCAAAACTAACACAATTTTGCAATTTATATGAACTGTTTTACACTCTACATATTTGCATTCACACTTATTTGCATTGTTTCCAAACGCAACCTTAATAAAAAAGAAACATATGATAGATTGTTTTGGATTCCACCTGATGAAGGGTGATTTGGCATGACCTAGCAAGAAGGGACACGTAGGTGCGATCTGATCGAAGGATGACAACTCAGCCAGGCAAGCCCAGTTCGCAACATTCCCAGTTTGGGTATTCAGCCACCTCGGCCCAAAATCCGCCTCGGTGTAGAGGCACCTCGACACCCAATCCAGTTCAGGACTAAAGAATCGAAGTTTCAGCTCAGAGCTACTGAGCCGAAGTGCCGCATAACTGACTCCAAAGACCTCCCCAACAGATCCCGAATCTCTTGACGTCACGATGAGCCAACAAATCTCGAATTTCCCAAGATCACGATAAGAACTCATCCCGATTTCGCCTGAATTGGAGGTAAACGATAAACCTTATCGATGTACTACTCTCCTTCAAAAACGGAACCATCCTTATCTCCACAGCCCGGGGATCCCGGATCTCTTTCGTAAGGCTCACGACTACTCCAGTATATAATGACTTGAAATCTCAAGGCAAAGGTACGCGTGATTATTCTACTCACTAGCACTCAAGCTCTCAAGCATCCAGCTCACATTCACAGCAAAAGTACTGACATAAGCATCGGAGTGACCTCGCCGGGTTAGCTACCTCGGGTTCTCTAATACACTGTTTTACAGATCGATCCAGCTCGCCGCCCATTTGGAGTTCGGATCGCCCTCAAGGTAGGAGTAGCCAGATCGCGCACCATCAATTGGTGTCGTCTGTGGGAAACGATCGAAAGGTCATCCCTACATCTTTGCAGTTTCAAACTTAATCTCAACCTCAATGGTATCCTCCAGCCACACCGAAAAAAGTGTCAAGATGAATGTCACCGGGGGGCAAGCCTAGCAATCAACCTTCCCCCAATCTCCTACGGTGTGCATCGGCCAGTTCACTATTCCGCTCACAGCGTCTGGAGTCCCATCACTGTCCGCACCACCGAGCACCACGCAAGTGAGCATCCCACTTCCCCCAGTGGTAGGCGCAACTTTCTCTGAGCCATCCATGGTTCCCCCGGAATCGGGCATTCCCATTTTCATGACCTCGTTCAGTGCGTCCGGGCTATTCAGATCCAGATGCAGTAGGTCCAACTGTTCCAGTAGTACCAATAGTACTATTTCTACCAGCTGTATCAACACCAGTTCCCTCCACTACAACCAAACTAGCAGCTGGTTCCACCTCGGCACCTAGGGCCCTATCAGGGTCAGAACCCAAATCGGCTTGGAACTAACCAGAACATCAGCCGATCTCCCCATTGGGGTGAAGAGACCTCACAAGTCAGGTCTCGCCCCGTGGGAGGAGAGACGGTCAGCACACTCCTCCAGTCTCGCAAGGAAATCTCAGAAACAGGTTCGGGGATAGTCAGCCCAATCCACCTCAATACTCACAGCAAGAAAATGATGGCTCACGAACAGATAACCAGTTTGGGGTTTGAGGTGCAAACTCGAGACAAGGCCTCTTCGTCCCTCGTGATAGCCAGTTCGATCCCCACAACCTATAGAATCCCACAAGGAATCAGGATCTACCTTGCAACAAGGCTGGAATACTAGACCAGACTGAAGTCAACATCACCAACGTCGAGCCAGTGAAGAAGCAGCCGCGGCGATGTCGCAAAACACGTCGTCCCTCGGTCAGGAACAACTCGCCAGCGAGAAGAGCAAACCAAAGGGAAGGAAGAAGCGAGCTCGGTGGCTACAAAGACCGCGGCTCCACTATTTTGTCGGACATCCCCTCTATATCCCGAGCTCTTGGCAACTCCAATGCCAAAAGATTTTAAGATGCCCCCATTAGACAAGTATGACGGGTCGTTCAACCCCAATGACCATGTGGACTCTTTCCAGTCTCAGATGCACTTAGTTGGTGCTGATGAGTCTTGCATGTGTGTGGCCTTCTTTACTACGTTTAAGGGGGTAGTTCGAACTTGGTACCGAAATCTTGCGCCGGACTTCCTCAAAAGTTGGTCCCAGTTCGCTGACTTGTTTACTACGCACTTCATTACGAGCAAGAAGTGTCCGAAGTCGCAAGAAAGCCTTCTAAACATGGTTCGGAGGAAAGGAGAATCGATCAAAAGCTATATCAACTGCTTCAACGACACTTGCCTGTAGATACCGGACCTCGACTCGGCAGTATGACTCACTGCAGCAAAGAAAGGAATCACCCACAAGAAGTTTAAGTGGCATGTGGTAGCTAACAAACCAAAGGACATCACCAAATTCCTTAAGTTAGCAAATTAGTTCATCGGTACCAAAGAGGAGATCACTCAGAAGATTGACAACCCACCGTCGGAAAAGAGGAAGAGAGAGAATGAAGGAACGAGCAATAGTGGACAGAAGAGGAAGAAAAGCAACTCCCCGAGTAAGGGAAGAAACAACTCCAGAAACTGGTCCCCCTCGCAAACTTGCAAATCAGGTCGGCACTCCAGGACCCCACCTGTGGAGAGAATGAGCTACACGCCATTGAACGCTAAGAGAGGAGAGATCCTAATGGCCATTAAGGACTCCTCCTTCGTCAAATGGCCCCCCAGGCTAAGGAGAGACCCATCAACAAGAAACCCAAACGTTTATTGCCATTTTCATTGAGATCACGGACACAACACAAAGAATTGTAGGAATCTCCGCGATGAGATCGAGGAACTTATCCTACGTTGATACCTGAAGAACTTCATCTTAAGAGAAGAGAGGGGACAAACAGATCGGCAGGCAGATCGACAGGGGGACCAGAGGAGTAATGCCTCCGAGGCC